GCTCTTCATCAGTACGGTAGTACTAACCCACTAGGAGTTAATGCGCAAAGCAGCACCTTAGCTTTCGGCCCATACTTTGGACCTAAAGATTTGTTAGGTGTCTTATTTTTAGCGTTATTTTTTAGCGTTCTAGTATTTTTTTATCCTGATTTGTTAGGTCATCCAGATAATTTAATTCCTGCAAATCCATATTCAACTCCACAACATATTGTACCTGAATGGTATTTCTGCGCGCCAATGAGCGTCTATTTAGGCTGTTATAACTCAATTTCATCAATTGATGATTATAACCAATTACGTGTTCTCGGACTAGATTTAATACTATCTAGTCTCGCATTGTTAAGCATTCTCTACAAATGCACTGCGAAAGTGGTGAGTAGGAGCAAGAGTAAAAGCCAAAGTCTGGACCGCGGCGAGGTCCTAGGATCTGTGGCGAGCTACGTCCGACAAGGTTACGATAAGAAACTTGCGACATTAGTCAACATCTCAATGGTAACACCATGTACTGTATGCACTTTACAGCCGCTGACAGCATACATCCACCAGGATTACGAGTTAGGAAATTCTTGTAATCTATTGAACATCGATGGACATTGCGCACCTAGTGCGTTCCAAGTAAACCATAGTTTACGTAGAGAGGTGCAAGGACCTAAATCGGACATTTGCCTAAATAAACGAACATTGGGATGGCCTAAAGCCGGAAACGGCCAAGGGCACGGAGCTTCCGTAGTAATCATGACAACCTTAATCGGTAGTCGTAATGTACTAAATACATTACAAATGAAGGGAAGCAGCTATGCCGAATACTATAACANAGTATTCACTTACGGCTTTAGTAGCTCTTCAAATAGCATTAATCCGAAAGGAGGCGCTATTTTGGCGGAGCTGAAGAAAGCTAATTCAATAGATCTTGCACGAGTAAATAACGGATTAATTCACATTATTTCAGACACAAATTTGCTTATTTTTTGCTATGAGCTGGTGAAATCTAAATCTGGTTATATGACCCCAGGCATCACAGAGGAATCTCTAGATGCTATAGACCTAGCTTGGTATAAACACATAGCAACGACATTAAAGCGGGGCAATTTAAGTTTTCACAAGCCCGTCGTGTTATGATTCCAAAACCCGGTAAATCTGAATTACGCCCTCTAGGCGTCGTATCACCGCGTGACAAAGTAGTACAAAAAGCCTTAGAGTTAGTACTACAATGCATCTTTGATCCGATGTTCTTAGATTGTTCTCATGGTTATCGTCCAGGTAAATCCCAACACACCGCTCTCAAAATGTTAGATCAACAATTTAAGAACGCCACTTGGGTAATTAAGGGAGACATTAGTAAATGCTTCGATACTATCGATCATGAAATACTAATGCACCTTATTGGTAAACGCATTAGCTGCAATAAAACTCTAGCCCTGATCAAATCCGCTTTAAAAGCAGGTAATGTATTAGATGGTAAGTTATACGCTAATGAGGCTGTGGGTACACCACAAGGTAGTGTTTTAAGCCCATTACTATGTAATATCTATATGCACGAATTTGACTTATTTGTAAAAGATATCATAGTAAAATTTAATAAAGGCACAAAACGCCGCCAAAACCCGGAGTATACCAAAATCCTAAATATGCTATACAAAGCATTGGAGCAATTTAACTTCTCCAAATATGCGAAATTGCGCAAAGATTTACGTAGGGTCCGACAAGTTAACATAATGGACTTAGACTATGTACGTATTAAATACGTACGCTTCGCCGATGATTTTGTAATTTCCATTATTGGACCTTACAAATTAGCCTGCGATACTAAAGTTATGGTCAAAGACTTTCTCATGAACAAGCTTAAACTAACTTTGAATGAAAGCAAAACTGCAATTACTAAATTTAGTAAAAAACCTATTTATTTTCTCGATACTGAGATTATGAATCGATATCCGAAAGTAAAACCAGTCAAACTAGTAAAACGATTAGGAGTTTCTAAGCTTGCAAATGTTACCCCTCGTTTAAGTCTTCATGCACCTATGGATAAAAT